TTAAAAGAATTTTGGGTCTCTGTGTATTAGAATTGGCTTGTATCAGCCGGAGATTGCGACTCATCTCCAGTGGACTTATAATTGGACTGGATTGGGATTAATAGGCCTAGCGGGTTGAATCACCCTACTCCAGGAGTAGAAGGACTGAAGTAGGTTGTATCACCTTGAAGGACTGAAGTAGGTTGTATCACCTTGAAGGACTGAAGTAGGTTGTATCACCTTGAAGGACTGAAAAAAGTTATTTAATTCTGGGAATAATACATTTTATAGCCGGCATCTGACCTTTGATTTTTTCTTTTTATTTCTGTCTTTTATGTTGTCTGGGGCTGTTTTCTCTGTTTGTGCAGTTTTTTGCTTTGCTTCTGTGGTGTGTGGTGTGTGAATCTGCAGAGCTCTGTGTGTCTGTGTGTATGTGTATGTGGGCGCGTTTCATGTTATCTGTCTGTTTGGCGGCTGTGTCTGTGTGCTGATTGCTGTAATTGGTACGCTCTGTTTGGAAACCGCTGTTTGTGCTGCTTTGATTTGATTTTTGCTGTGTTTTTTATTGTAACGTTATCATGGACACTAAATTACATGGTGATGTTGTTGGTCATTCCTACGGTCTGGGTCCGTGGAAAACTCTGCGGGAACAGATTGCTGTCTTAATTGGTATTTATGATCAGCAGCTTGGTCTGGATTCGCTTACTGTAAAGGTGGGCGATTTGAAAAATATGTTGGAAAATGCGGTCCGCAAGCGGGGTGAACCACTTACATCTGAAAAGCCTTTGGGTTTGGTTTTGAATGCCTGTTTAAAGCAAGCTGTGGCAAAAAGGGATACAGCTCAGGTAGAGAAGGACAGAGCTAGTCTGTTTACCAGAAAGTCTGCGACGAAGAAGCTGAATGAGGCAGAACGCCGTAGGCATTTGTGGGCTAAACTTTTGGTGAGTTGGCAGGGTACAGATCACCTTTATAAAAAGGGATCAGTTACGCAGACTTCGGACTCATTTAACGTCCAGATTGTGGATTGTCCGGAGGTGCCCCCTAAAACATCTAAACAGGTACTCAGTCCGTCTGGGGCTCCATTTCCCCCTCCATATAGTGGTGATGCTGCTCCCTGTTACACGGGCTTGTATCCATTATTGGATGTTCGCACGGGCACGGCGGAATGGGATCTTGTGAAGGTTCCTCCTCCAGTGGTTTCTAACTCTCCACTGTTTAAAGAGGCGCCTGTGCTACCGACATCACCCCCGGCATCCCTTATGAGTTTTCCTTCTGTTTCTGATAACCTTCCGATGGCAGATCGCGTGCAGCGTGAAAAACTTTGTTTTTCCCAGCCTCCTTCTGCGTCCCTGCCAGCTGTGGCTCAAATTACACGTCACACAGACAGTGCTGCCTCTGTCTCCGCCTCTTCCTCGGAAGAGGTGGAGAAGGGGGAGGTGCAACTGAAGTTGAATATGAAATTAGTGGGCCGTCTTGTGGAGGAAGCCCCGCTTTCTGAACAGGATTCATTGATATCTGTTTCACCACATAAAGGGGGCGCTGTGAGGTTGGCTTCCACTCCGAGGTTACATGATAATGGGACCCACCCCCTACATGTTCAGCATTGTGACTCTGGTCCCTCTCCTCGTGACATTTCCACACCACAGCATGTGGCTCCCCCCACATTTGCTGGTTTTGATTCTGTGCATGAAGAGTTTTTGAAATTTGAGGAGACACTGCGACGTGATATACAGAATTTGAACTCTTGTATTTCAAATTTACCTGGTAACTCGGAGACTGCATCAGTAACCTCTGAGAGCTCCCCTGCTCATGTTATGCCACTGTTAGCAACACAACAGGGACACAAATACAAGCCATTCTCTTTTGGGGATTTACAGACCCTTATTGAAAAGCTACCTTCTTTGGTGGATGGGGCTATTACTTGGCTACATGAATTGGATTCCCTCACGAAAGGGTTAACATTGGCTTTGGGGGATTTTAGAGCCATTTTAGGTCGTTCAACAACGACAACAAATTGTCGTAATGTTGAACTCTCTGCTGGAATTACAAATCTGCCTGATCACGCGCCTCTTTCGGCTGTGTTGACTCCTGTGGGTGCAGCTTTGAGGGACATGTTTCCCCCTGTGTCTCTCACAGCGATTCCTAAATTTTCTTATGACTCGAAAGAACACCCGAAAGTGTTTTTAGATAAAGCCATAGACATTTGGAGACGACAAACTGGGGTTCATCCAACTAGTGCAACATTAATGAGGGAACATTTCCGACAAGCTGTTTTGGAAGGTGTCCCTCCCTCTGTCGCTGCTAAGATGAGACAAAACCCGGAGTTGAAATCGTGTGACCATGCGAAATGGGAGTTGCATTTGTTGCATAATTTGCAGATTTCTCAGGATGAGGAGAGAGACGCAGAGAAGGAGCAGGAGGATTATAAGAAACAATTACTAAAGCTCCAATTAGATGAAGCCAGACAGAAGCTTCATCTTGTAAAGCAGGACCGAAGGGTGGCTAAATCTCTCTTAGCAACCGCTCCTCAATCGGTTCCTGTTCTGGCTCAGACTCCTGCTGCAGTAGCACAACCTGGTCCTTATAGGTATGCGGCTCCACGTTGGCAGTCTGGTGTTTCAGGGAGGCGTGAGGGACGAAGGAGAGTGCCCGCATGGACAGGTGCGCGAGGAAGGGGTGGACGAGGCTTGACACGGAGAGACAGGTGTTTTTATTGTGGCGAAGAGGGTCACTGGGTTCAGCAGTGCCCTCACTATGCACCGATTCCTGCTCAAGATGGTGTGTTGCCGGACATAACGCCACAACAACCTCCGAATGCTGTTTTGCTTCCGCAGCATCCTGGACAGTACTTTCAGGCTGGAGAATATTGACACACCCCGGAGAGGAACTTGCATCAGGGAGTATTGGCAGATCCCCTGATTGATGTGACAGTTGATGGACAATCTTTGCCATTTTTGGTGGATACAGGAGCAACTTATTCCACCATGAATGTTGTCATGCCTTTGCAAAAACTTTCTGATCAGACAATATCAGTGGTTGGTTTTTCTGGGGTGAAACAAACTCTGCCTATCTCCACACCTTTGCACACGGTCGTGGGCAGACAAAAAGTGACACATCCTTTTGTGTGTTCCCCCTCATCACCCGTGAACTTATTGGGGAGAGACTTGTTGATTGCTCTGGGGGCGACTATTTTGTGTGGACCTGATGGACTAATTGTCACTTTTCCTGACGGATCTTCTCATGCCTGTTCTCAAGTATATACACATGGACAATTTTTGCTGCAGCAAACTGAGGAACGACTGGCTGATATATACTGGGGTCTTTTACAGCCAGAGACGACTGACCATGCTGGAATCCTGTCCTGTTTTCTGCTTTGGAAACCCTGGATCCAAGCGCTTGCACCGTATGGGCCAGCTCCTGATCTTCCTCATGTCACTTTGTTTTATGACCAAGACCAGACTGAATGGTACCAGGAGCAGTTTGAGGCACATTTAGCCGGTAGTGACTGGACTGTGCTTTCACAGGATATTTATGTGGCACCAGAGGGTGTTGCTGCTGCAGTTAATCTGACTCAGGATCAGTTGGCCTGGTATAAGATGCATGATGAAGCAGTTCCACATATTTCTTTGGCTTTGCATCCTGGTCATCAGGCCATGGAGTTGGGGGGCGTGGTAAAACGCTCCCTTGCAGTTTCAGACTGGCAGGATACTGTTGCTCCTGACCTCTCCTTCTCTCCTTCTACAAACACGTATAAAATAAAATGTTCGGCTGTGGATTCTGTAGTTTTGGAACATGTTCAACTTCCTAGACATCATGGAAGGGAGCTGACTGATCATCCAACTGCGGCTGCGATGTTGACTTCTCTGCCGGAGTGTTTGTGGGCCACAGGTCCCACTGATGTGGGGCTTGTTGATATTACACCTGTCACTTTTGATTTACAACCGGGCCCTCCTATTTGGAGGTCACAGTATTCTCACAAGCAGGCGGCAGAGGAGGGGATAGCAGAAACTATTGGGGGTCTTCTGGAGGCAGGTGTGTTAGAATCTTCCACCTCCTCCTGGAACACTCCTATTTTACCAGTGGAAAAGAAAGGGACAGGTAAATACCGCATGGCACATGATCTTAGGGCAATTAATTCTGTTTTATTGACCCCTACGGTGCCGGTACCTAATCCTCATGTTGCACTAACTAACCTTGATCCCTCTCAAACTTGGTTCACATGTGTGGACCTTGCTAACGCTTTCTTTTGTCTCCCTTTGGCTGAGGAATGTAGGGATGTATTTTCTTTCACCTACAGAGGTCAACAGCTGAGATATACGCGTTTGCCTCAGGGTTTTGCTCTCTCCCCAGGGCTTTTTAATCAGGTTTTGAAACAACAGTTAGCGGACTGTGTGTTACCAGAAGGTGTGACCCTGATTCAGTATGTTGATGACCTCATGCTGGCAGCACAGACGTTGGAGTCTTGTATTGAGGCCACGCGACGACTGTTGTTACACCTAGCTAACAGGGGTTTTAAAGTGAGCAGATCTAAATTGCAAATTGCTAGGAAGCAAGTTTCCTTCTTGGGGCGGATTATCACTGGGACAGGCACTCAGATGTCTGCCAGTCATAAATCTGCGATTCTCAATCACCCCAAACCATGTACGGTGAAGGACATGTTGTCTTTTCTTGGTTTGACTGGATATAGTAGGAATTATATTCCTAACTATACTGGACTGACGGACCCCTTACGGGCGTTAGTCAGAGAGCATGGGATTCGTAAGCTCAACCATGCTCTGAATTGGACTATGGAGGCAGAAGATGCATTTATCTCTCTGAAACAACAATTGGCTGCTGCAGTGCAGTTGGCTATTCCGGACTATTCTTCACAATTCTATTTGGATGTTTCTGTCACAGAACTGACAGTTAATGCAGTTCTGTATCAGAAAAAAGGGAGTGAGAGGAGAATTCTCCAATATGTCAGCGCAATGCTAGATCATATGGAGAAAAGACATCCAGCATGTACAAGACATGCAGCAGGTGTAGGAAAAATGATTCAGAAAACAGCACACATTGTGATGGGTCATCCATTGCAGGTTATGACATCACACAGTGTGGTAGCATATGTGAATTCACAACACTTCACATTGACAACATTGAGACAACAAAAATTGAGCAAAATTCTGGAATCACCTAATATAACTTTTGTACATAACGGAGTGAATATGGCTGACAGGATGCAAGAAGGACAGCCACATAACTGTGAGGAGTTAGTACAAAAGGAAGAAAAGATAAGACCTGATCTACAAGCTTCTCCTTTAGGAGGTGAAGATGTCAGAAATTTTTACACAGATGGTTGCTGTTTTAAACATGACACAGACGGATTGAGAGCAGCATATGCTATAGTGGAAGATTTGGGCAGTGAGTTTCAGGTTTTGAGGGCAGAAAGGCTACAGGGTGCCCAATCGGCACAGAGAGCAGAAGTGAAAGCAATGATTGAAGCACTGAAATTAGCTGAGGGAATGAGGGTGAATCTATACAGTGATTCAGCCTATGTAGCCAGTGCTGTCCATGTGGAACTTCCTCAGTGGCTTAGAGCAGGATTTATAACTGCAGCACAAAAGCCCATAAAACATGAAACTGAAATGAAAGAATTGGCGGAGGCATTACTGCTGCCTCAATCTGTTGCTGTGATAAAATGCAAGGGACATGATCAAAGCAAGACCAGAGTGGCAGCAGGAAATGCCGCCGCGGATGAGGCTGCTAAAAGGGCAGCTGGATACCTGCCATCTCTTTTAATGGTGAGTACCGACATTGAGCAGATGGAACAGAATCATCTGGAGAAAATTATTTTTCATCAGAAAGGCGTGTCACCTGAAGAACGATCTGTCTGGAAAGCAAGAGGTGCCATCTGCAATGATGGACTCTGGCGGGGACCGAATGGTAAAGTAATTCTTCCTCCTAATATGAGAATCCAGGTTCTTCAGGAAGCTCACGGACTCGGACATGTAGGTATCACACAGATGTTGAAAAACCTAGAGCACTGGTGGCATCCATTTTTGAGGGACATGGTCAAGGATCATGTGAAAACATGTGAAATTTGTGGACAACACAATGCAAAACCAACTATCAGACCACCAATGGGACATTTCTTTTGGACTACACAACCAGGTAAAGAAATTATTATTGATTTTACAGACATGATAACACCCGTTAGAGGATACAGGTATGTATTAATGTGTGTGGATGCATACTCGGGTTGGCCAGAGGCGTGGCCAGCAAAAAAAGAGGACAGCAAGGCTGTCATAAAGTGTCTGATCAATCATTACATTCCGACCCATGGATTTCCAGAGAAGGTAAGATCAGACAACGGCACTCATTTTAGGAACCAAGATCTGCAGAAAGTGGAGCAGATGCTCGGATTGAAGCATTCATTCGGTACAGTATATCACCCTCAATCACAAGGCAAGGTTGAGAGATTAAATCAAACAATGAAACAAAAATTGGCTAAAGTGTGTGCACATACGAAATTAAATTGGGTAGAGGCTTTGCCTATTGCTTTGATGTCTGTCCGAATGTCCATTAACCAATCAACAGGGTTCTCTCCATATGAGCTACAGACGGGAAGGATGTTTCCAGGACCTGCAACCCGCATTCCAGGATGGAAAGGTGAACTTGCACATTTATCTCATAAAGATTTCTTTAATGAGTTACAGATCCTGGCAGCGGAGTTTGCAAAATATCAGACGACACAGGAACGTCCAGGCTCAGGACCAGTTCCAGGAATTGACTGGGTGCGCCTGAAGGTCATCAAAAGAAAGTGGTCTGAACCTCGCTTCACCGGACCATACCGAATCGTGGAGAGGACGTCTCATGCGGTCCGTCTGCAAGGGAAAGGAGACACCTGGTTTCACTGGAGTCAGTGTACAGCAGCTGAGGAGCCACAACGCACGCTACGAGGCATCCAGGAGGATCTACAGTCTCAACCTGCGGTCGAGGAGCATCTGCAGGCCCATCCCAGCGCGGAGGAAGATCTGCAGTTCCAGGGAGGAGTGTAGCAGGAATTCCTGCCACGACCACTTCATATTCCTGAAATTCAAGGCTTAAAAGGCTCGGACAGGCATAATAATCCTGTTCCGATGTCCTTCTACTGAGAAAAGGAGATTGCACCCTCTCCTTAAACTCACTGTTATATTGGCATAATAATCCAATTTTCAGTGAGCAACGGACACTCAGGTGGAAACCTGAGGTTTAAAACCAAGGAGGAAAACGGATACACGAAGGATCAGGCTACAAGAGGATCATCATTAACTTATCGTCTTTTTATTGCGTGTTTTCGTCTTTTTGCGAACTCTTAAAGAACTTTCGTTTCTTTTTGCGCGTATTTTTGTATCGTTTCCTGACAAAGAATTCATATTTTTTAAGGACTAACAAAGAAGAAAAGACACAAACTCTGAGACTCTATTATTGAATTGTAAAAAAAAGAGTTTGTAATTTTTTATATTGCTGTTGTATTCTTTTATTTTATGTTTTGGGTTGTTATTTGTACCGTGTTTCTGTTTGTCTTGAGATAATTGGGTTTTATGATTTTTTTCTTATATTTTAAAATAAGTATTTTTCAGTTTTAGTTTTAACTTGTTAAAATTTTGTGGTTCACCAGGTGAGTATTAAATTGTTGGATAACGCAGGATTACAATTGAAAAGGTTCAGGTGATGGAGTTCAGCTTAAGACACATGAACTGGCAGTGGAAGCTTTTGCTAGGTGTGCTTTTTGGACTCATTCTGCTGGGAATATGGGCTTTAGGAGGATCCACGGGTGGAATCATTTCCTCTCAGACATCTGATCTCCGACCGATTTCTGTCGAGCGCAGATTGTCTGGCGGAGATGTGACTGCCCGTGTGAAGCGTTCCTTGAGATCTCCTGTTGACAAGTGCCTCACTAAATATAGTGGAATTGAATTGAATTATACTCTGGGTACTGTAACTGATTTCCAAATTGACCTGTGTGAGGTAACTCGTCGCTGCTGGTCGACCCCTCGATCCTGGCAGAATACTCCCCTGTATTTGTGTGGAGATCTGACCTTTCAGCGACACTGTATCACTCAGGAGAATGGATTTCGACATTTGTGTCCCACTTGGAATTCGGCTTTCAGATGGGTGGGATCAAGTTGGGATCCATTTTACGCTTATAAATATGTCACTGAATATGATAAGGTCACCATAAGACGAGGGACTATAGGAAATTCTCCAGTAAAAGGACAAAATCCTCTTGTGTTAACCATTTCCTCAATGCAGAATTCTTTCTTTAAGAAGTATCCGGCAGATTCAGCTGTCTATTTAACCTTAGGAGCCTCAATTGATGATAAAGATCCACTTGGGGTTATTAAAATTAATCTGGTCAGACCTGATGGAGAGGAAGAAATGGAAATTGAAGTTCCTGATCAGTATGCGGCTAAAATTGACTACACTGCAGTTACACCATTGGACATCATTCAAACAGCGACTGGGTATAAGGACAGGAATTTGTGGCTGAATTGGATGGTTCAAACGGCCAAAGAAACTAACATTGGGAACTGCATTGCATGTGCTACAGCTAGACCTCATCTTTATACTGAACCTGCCCCACTACACTTGGGAGATAGTTGGGGTTTTAATTGCATGCTGAAATTAACAAGTGAGGCGGAACCCATGAATTGTACTGCACTTGCCACAATATATCCACCTATTAATAACTATACTCAAACGGGAACTTTTCTTCCGGTTAAGGGTAAAGGATTATATGTGTGTTTTAATTTTACTCATCTTAAGCCTGATTTTAATCTAGGGCAGATTTCTAGTGATTGGTGTAATGTTACTTTGACAGCGACCAGAATTGGGCATTGGGCCAGAGCTGGACTTTATTATTTTTGTGGAGGTGATAGATTATATGTGCAAATTCCTCCTAGGACTGTTGGAGTATGTGCTATGACTCGCCTTGCAGCCCCGCTTATGGTTGTGGGTGAAAGACTTGATCCTGTAGGCCCGCCGCAGGTGCTCAACTCACTGACACAGAGGAATAAGCGACAGGTGCGTCATACACGCTCTGATACTGCATTTGATTTGACTACTAATTCTCCTACTTATATTGATGCTATCGGTGTGCCGAGAGGGGTTCCGGATCAATATAAATTGGCTGATCAAATTGCAGCAGGTTTTGAAAATTTACCAGTGGTTTCAGCTTTCTTTCCTATCACGCCGAATAAAAATGTTGATAGGATTAATTATGTCCATTATAATCTCTTGAGGCTAGCAAATCTGACCAGGGATGCTGTTGGAGGTTTGAAGGACCAGTTAGCCCCTACTTCTTTGATGACAATTCAGAATCGGATGGCGCTGGACATGCTTTTGGCTGAAAAAGGAGGGGTCTGCTTTATGTTCCAAGAGAGCTGCTGTACGTTTATTCCTAATAACACAGCTCCTGATGGATCTGTTACTAGAGCATTAGAAGGTTTGAGAATTTTGAGTAAATCTATGCATGAACATTCGGGTATTGATGGTGGTTTGGACAGGTGGTTTTCTACTATGTTTGGTAAATGGAAAGGGATTGTCATGTCACTGCTAGTTTCTGTGGCTACTTTTGTGGCCATTGTGGTCACCTGTGGATGCTGTTGTGTTCCATGTATCCGTTCGCTTATTATTAGGCTTATTACAGTTTCAATTGAGAAGGGAAGCAGTGGACCACCTGCTCCGCCTCCCTATCAGATGCTTTTTCGCGGTGCTGCTGATGAGGGGGTTGTGGAGCTGGGGGGTCCTGTTTAAAAAGGGGGACTGTTATATAATTAAGCTAATGTTTTTAGTATACTAAATAGTTTTTGGTTCCTCTATTAGAAGGTTTAATCAGTTTATTTGTGAGGTCTGTATGTCTCAGACCTCAAAAGGGGGACTGTTGAGAAAAAATGATTATTTTTAGTGTTTAATACAGTTTAATCTTTTTGAACAAATCTTTAAAACTTGAACAGGTTTCTGTTAGTGATTTAAAATTAAATTATGGCTGGGTAAGTATTCAAATGTACCAAGGAAAATGGGGTGATCTGTAGAGCTTCTCCCTGGACCCCTGTGGTCGTAACACATAGGACAGGAGGCCATCGATTAACATATGCAGGAAGGTAGAGGCCAGTATCATTTAAATTACCTTGGGAAACAGGACCTTGCCGAATTCACAAGAGATCAGAACCCTTCTGTGAACATCTGGGTTGTGTGAACATTTTAAACCACTAACATTTACCTTACAAGATATTTTTCTTAGTTATAGATAGCATGCTCTGATTGAAAACTGTATTATTTCTGACTGTTAGAATTAAATGAAAATGTTTTGTTTAGTATTAGATAGAATTAATTTAGACGATGATAAATGGATTTGAAAACTGTATGAAATGTTTTGTTTAGTATGAGAAAATTACTCAGGATTTATGCTAAATGGGGTTTTGGAAAATGTTTGTGGTTACTTGTATACTTAGGATTGAATATTATGTTTTTTAGGTTAGAAAGAAGGAATTGTACCTCATTCTGTTCTGTTGATTTTATGTGTT